GACACACATGGAGACAAGGGGACACACATGGGGACACACATGGGACACACACGGAGACATGGGGACATAGAGATACACACAGGGACATGAGGACAGGGACACACATGAGGACATGGGGACACAGGGACACGGGGACACACACGGGGACAAGGGGACAAGGGCTCAGCACCGGGCTCGGAGCAGCCTGGCTTTGTCCCACAGCCAGCCCAGAGCTCAGGGACAGGCGCCCTTCCCATTCCTGCTGTGCTGGGACTGTCACAGGCAGGATGGGGAGAGACCCAGCCAGGGACAGGGACAAAATCCCAGCCTGGGACAGGGACAAAATCCCAGCCTGGGACAGGGACAAAATCCCAGCCTGGGACAGGGACAGGGGGAGAGTCCCAACCTGGGAAAGGACAGGGGCAAAATTCCACCCCAGGAAAGGATAGGGGGAAAATCTAACCCTGGGATAGGACAGGGACAAAATCTCAGCCTGGGACAGGGGGAAATACAACCCTGGGACAGGAGGAAAATCCCAGTCCAGGACAGGGACAGGGATAAAATCCCAGCCCAGGACAGGACAGCCTGCCTGGAGCTCCTGTCCCAGTTCAGAGGAGCCCTGAGGACAAGCCTAAACATCAATTTAAGAGCTGAAAATGGGCTCAGATTTTAGGGGACACTTGGAGGGACCCCATTCCTGAGCAGGGACTCCACCAGTCCCCCTCAGAGCTCACCTTGTCAAGCTTGGCCTCGATCTCCACCACATCTGTTTCCACCTCATCGATGGTTGCCCTGCAACAGAACAGCAAGGAGGAATCATTAATTAGCAGCAGGGAATCGTTAATTGGTGGCTTGGTAATTGGGCAGGAGGCCAGGAAAGGGTGAGTGTGGATCCGAGGGGCTGAGGGACTCTTTATTCCCACTGGGATGTCAGAACCTCGGCGCTGAATCCCTCAGGAATGAATTCCAGCACTGGGAGAAGAGATCGAGATGATCCCACCACAGAGAAATTCAGGTGGGCTGGGAAGACACCCCCAGCAAATTCATTTAGTGGCATTGCCCTGTTAATTAACAGCAGTGCTAATTGACCCAGGGATAACCACTGCTCCGTCCAGCCCCAGCAGGCACAAACTCCACCAAACCCCATTTCCAGGCTGCCTCAAATGCTGAATTACGACCTTCAAACCTCAGGAACCAGCCCTCAAACACACACAGAGCAGCCCTTTGGCCTCTGAACACCAAAAAGCTCCTCCCCACACCCGGGATTTGGCTTGGATAGGGATAAATCCACCAAAATCCACCAGGATTTCGGGATCTGCTTCCTTCCCACGTCACTGGGCGGAAGTGACAGTGAGGAGCTGTCAGAGCCCAGCTGCAAAGGCCACCAAAAATCCCTCTGATTTTAAAGATTGCACGACATCAGCCACTTCAGGAGGCATTCCCAGACTCAGGAATGTGGTTCTGGAATGATTTTTGGGAGGGCAGAGCCCAGCAGAGAGCCCTGCAAAACTCAGGGTGTTCCCTGGCAGAGCACTGAGAGTCTGAGTTTATTTAACCTTTAAACTTGATTTATTTCTTTAACCACACACCTGGGAATGTGGGCAAGCCTCCCACCTCCAAGGGTTTGAAATCCAAATTTCACTCAGGGAGCTTCTCAGGTTTGTGGGATCAGGTTTTTAAAGGTTGGTTCTTGAACATTGCAACCAAAGTTGGAAAAATCCCAGCCCACTGGGTGAGGAATTCCTAAAAAAAACCTTCCAGGAGTAATTCAGAGGGAATAAACCCCACTGAGTGAGTGAGGAATTCCTAAAAATAAGACATTCCTATTGTTGTTATTATTATTATTGTGATGATGATGATTATTATTATTATTCAGAGGGGGATAAAGACCACTGGGTGGAGAATTCCTAAAAAAAACCTTCCAGGAGGAATTCGGAGGGAACAAACCCCACTGAGTGAGTGAGGAAATAATAATAATAGTAATAATAGTAATAATAGTAATAATAGTAATAATAGTAATAATAGTAATAATAATAATAATAATAATAATAATAATAATAGGAATGCCTAATTTTTAGAAATTCCTATTATTATTTTTATTATTATCATTATTTCTGACCGATTTCTGCTCGAAAGAGCGAAACCAATGCCTGCCTCACTGAGATGAGCTCTGCCCAAAATAAAAAAAAAGGAGATTTGGCACAAAACCGAAGCATTTCTCATCCAGTTCCTCCTCCCAAAGCCATCAGCAGCCTGACAAGGGCACTGCCAGCTCCAGAAATTCAAATTAAACTGCTCCTTCAAGGAAAAGGGGATGGATTTTCAGGATTTTTAGCTCCACCTCCATACCTTTGTCTCCTGCCACACAGCCTTTTTGGAGGTGAAACGAGGTGAAAGCCACTCTTGGGATTTTTAGGTCGCTCTTTGGGTTTTTAGGGAGTTTTGAATCATTTATGAACCTACCCAAACATTGATCTGAGAGCTCCTGATCCCCCTGGTATCCACAATTCCCTTTACTTTCCTTTTTCCTTTTTCTTCTCCTTTCTTTTTTCCTTTCCTCTTTCTTTTCTTTTTTCCTTTTTCATTTCTCCTTTCCTTTTCAACTTTCCTTTTTCCTTTCCCTTTTTCCTTTCCTTTTTCTTTTCCTCTTTCCTTTTTCCTTTCCTCTTTCCTTTCTTTTTTCCTTTTCTTTTCCTCTTTCCTTTTTCCTTTCCCCTATCCTTTTTCCTTTTATTTTTTTCCTATCCTTTCCTTTTTCTTTTCCTTTCTCCCTTTCCTTTTTTTCCTTTCCTTTCCCCTTTCCTTTTTCTTTTCCTTTTACTTTTCTTTTTTCTTTCCTTTTCTATTCTTCTTCCCTTTTTCCTTTTTCTCTTTCCTTTCCTCCCATCCATGGCAACAGCTCCATGGTGACAGTATCCATGGCATCCCCACCCTGCCCAGGCCCTGGGGAATTCCATGGATTTTTCCTGCCGGGAATGGCCCGGGAGTGCTCAGGGCGTGTGAGGGTGAGGGGTGGGAATTCGGGACAATGTTGGGAGTTTAAAGAGAAAAGAAGCTGGGAATTGAGATCCTGGGGTGGAAATCTGGGATTCCCATCCTGCTGCTCCCTCCCCGTGCCAGGCTCCTGAGCAGGAGCAGATTCCTGGGAAAGGGTTCCCTTTTTCCCTGGGATGTAATTTCATCCCTTTTAACCATGTCCCCATGACATCTCACCCATTTTGTCCGTATCCCTATGTCGTTTATTCCCTTTTACCCCTGTCCCCATGCCATTTAACCCCTTTATCCCTGTCCTATCCACTTTTGTCCTTGTCCCCATGTCATTTATCCCCTTTTACCCCTGTCCCCATGCCATTTATCCCCATTTTACCCATCCCCATGCCATTTATCCCTTTTTGTCCCTGTCCCCATGCCATTTATCCCTTTTTGTCCCTGTCCCCATGCCATTTAACCCCTCTTACCCCTGTCCCCATGCCATTTAACCCCTTTATCCCTGTCCTATCCACTTTTGTCCTTGTCCCCATGTCATTTATCCCCTTCTACCCCTGTCCCCAACTCCCAGCTGCACTGGGGGATGAAATTCCCACACTCCCCGCTGCCTGCATCGCTCCCCCAAACCCAAGCCCAACATTTATCCTGTTTTTTAGGGTTCAGATCGCTGCCAGCCCCTGGGAATGCCACCGGTGGCGCGGGGCTGTGTCCCCACGCAGCAGCCACCAGCTCAGCCCGTGCCCGCTGTCCCTGCCATGCCCTCGGTGCCACCCCGGATGGATGGCAGCGCTCTGGGAGCCACCAGGGATTTATTTCTTTGGTCTGTGCTGACGAGGCAGCTCCAGACTAAGCCTGACCTAGATTTGAGCAGCTCTGCTGGAAACGCTGCGTGTGCTGCTCCAGCAGCAGGGATGGCACAGCCGGGCTGCCCGCTGCTCTGGCTTTCTTATTTCCCCTCTTCTTTTTCCCATTTTCTCTCATTTTTCCTCTTTTCCTGCTCTCAGTTTTCTCTTCTTTTCCCCTTTTCTCTTCTTCTCCCCCTTTTCCTGCTGCCTCTCAGTTTCCTGCTCTTTTCCCCCTTTTCTCTTCTTTTCCTTCTTTTCTCTTATTTTTTTCTCTGCTCGGGCTCTCTGCTCCCTCTTCATCCCCTCCCTATCCCCTCCTCAGCCCCTCCTCCTTCCCTCTTCATCCCCCACCATCTCCTCCTCATCCTTTCCTCATCTCCTCCTCATTCCTTCCTCAGCTCCTGGAGAGCCAAAACTCAGAGAAAACTGGTGAGGAAAGGTGAGATGGTGACATTGAGTGAGGCAGAGCAGTGGCAGGTGTCCCTTTGGGGCAGTGGCAGTGCCAGATGTCCCCTGGACCCTGGCACAAACGCTCACACTCTTCTCTTGTTCCCAGAACCCCGGGGACAGGGGATCCTGTC